CAGCCAACTGCTCTGCCCCTCGCGGGGCGGCTCTGGTCCCGCCGGCCCCGCTCCGCTCCCAGCTCCTCTCCGTGTCCCGCAGGTGCCGTGACAGAAGTCAAAACGGACATCTACGTGACCAGCTTCGGGCCCGTGTCCGACGTGGAGATGGTAAGGGCCCCGCTCGTCGCCCCTGCTCTCTTTTCCCGGGCTTCATTACGGTGGCATCTGAGTTGACCGTCATTAAAGCAGATTACGAGGCTTAATCTCCTTGACAATCTCTAGGGCCCAGCAGAGCAGTTTGGCTGGAGCTGCATATAGCTATTTCCCAACAGCCCAGCCCCGAGGCTGGGCACAGAGGACACAGCCAGCCTCAGGTGAGAGCATGGGCCAGAGGTTAAAGATGCCTCTTTAACCTCGGTAAGAAGATTCTGAGCACCTGTGGCCTGACAAAGCTTCTCAGGAATGCTGCCTGGTAGGACACAACCTAATGAGCAGCTGCAGGGGAATGGTGCTACTTCAGGGACAGCTGCCCCTGTCACGCTGGATGCCCCAAATTCAGGTGGCTGTGGGCTTGGGTGAACTCTGTCAATTACAGCAGCAGCCCCAGGAAAATGTTAAGCCATCAGAGAGAGGATGGCCTTGCTGTTCTCACGCTGGAAATTGACTTGCATTGCTATTTTTGCCCTTGTACATTCCCTCCAACACCAGCTCACCTGAGCCTGCAGTGCAGTTTGCAGGCAAGGAACTGTGGGCCAAAGAACCAAAAGTTCTTCCAACTCTCTTCAGCAGTCAGTCTAAGAGAATGCATAACCTTGCATTCTTACAAAATCTGCCCCTGGCCAAGGTTTAGCTCTGTTTCCTAAGCAACTTTTGCAGAGAGCTCCTTTCTGAAGGCTTGTGAAAATATTACTAAGAATCCTTAAAAAATAACATAGATTAATATTAACTTGACACCATAATCTTACTGTGATGTGACTCAGTCAGATCAGTCCTTTCTTTGTGAATATCTAAAGGAAGCTGCAGAAGAGTCACTGTGTCTTTTTGTTTCTGCCAATTAAACATTGATAGTTTAGTTTTGCATTGTGAAAGGATACTAAATTAGGCATTCATATTTCCTTAGACCTCAGTCACTTCGAATGAAATTATTATCTCTGAGAGGACAATGAGGTTTTCTTCCTTATATCAAATTCTCTGTTCACTGATGCACTTGTAACTATTCTTCAAATAATAAGAAAATAGGATGTTTTCATGGACTGCTTTTTTTTTTTTTTTTTTTAGCAACTACTTAATGGTAATAGGATTGGGTGTTTAAGAAGTGAATGAAATGTCATTGACATGTGTGTTAGGTTGTGTCATGGAGTTACTGTCTGTGCAGCCACTTGGGACTGCTGACTCGCACACACAAATCAACCACCTATTTATTTTCCATAGGAATACACAATGGATGTCTTCTTTCGCCAGACATGGACTGATGAGAGGTTGAAGTTTAGTGGGCCAACTGAAATTTTGAGATTGAACAATTTAATGGTCAGTAAAATTTGGACACCAGACACATTTTTTAGAAACGGAAAAAAATCAATTGCTCATAATATGACAACTCCTAACAAACTTTTCAGAATTATGCAGAATGGAACTATTCTTTACACAATGAGGTGAGAGCTTATTCTTCTGCTTTTGGTTGACTTTTTTGGTTTGATTCTATCAGCACTGTTCATGCATGCCATTTTTTTTCTTTGTCATCAACTATAATGTATTCTAGACTGACCATTAATGCGGATTGTCCTATGCGGTTGGTGAACTTCCCTATGGATGGACATGCTTGTCCACTGAAGTTCGGAAGCTGTAAGTTTTTCTGTATTTTTTAGTTGATTATAGTAACAATTTTGGTATATATTTATGTGAGAAGATCAGAAAGAAGACCCTAAGCTACTACTTAATGATGTAGCTGAAATTTTTTATTATATTTTTATACTGGAATTTTAATTCTTTTTTTCTGAGGTTCAGATGATTTATAAGGACATGGATTTATTCACTGAACGGTGACTATTGAAGCATATTTTATTGTCTATTATTCTTAGGCATCTAGTTGTCAAAGTTGGTACTTTAGCAAGTTATAAGAGCTGTGCTACATTTACTATTTTACTTGTCATTTTGAAAATATTTAGTTGACCTGTGGTGATCAGTGTATGTGTTTTACGGCAAACTAAGACACAAAAAGTAGTGCTTATGAGGTCCCACCTCAGCCATTCTCTTAGTGTTGATTTTTCTTTCATTTTGTCGTTAGTGAGGTTAGGAATTTGCTGAAGCAGGATACATGTTTCTGTGAGCATTTGAGCCACAAAAGGGGTTATTCTAGTTGTTTTTTCAATTGTTTATAAAATACATAATTAGTAATGGTAACTTTTCCCTCTGTAACTCAGATGCTTATCCAAAAAGTGAAATAATTTATACTTGGAAAAAAGGACCCCTGCATTCAGTAGAAGTACCACAGGAGTCTTCCAGCCTTCTCCAGTATGACCTCATAGGACAAACTGTGTCTAGTGAAACAATTAAATCTAACACAGGTAAGATGGAGCCTCATGAGAACTATTGATATTATAAAACACATCTTGAAAATAAGTTATGGGTTTTTTCATGTAGATCCAAATCAGTTTAATTATCTTTTGCCATTTAAAAAAATAAAACCCTGGGAAAGACTCTAACCATTGTCTCTTAAAACAGAGTTTTTCAATACAGTCCCTTTAAACATAGAATTTTTCATGTGATTCTTAAGCATTTCCTCTGCTTCCCCTTCCTCTCCCCCCACCTTAAAAACAACACGTAAAATGATTATATTCTCCTGTTTCCATCAGGTCACTTTACCTTTTTGTAAGCAGCTTATTTTTATTATGCACTAGGAGGCCTGTCAGTGATTTCCTCAGAACATATTATGTTGGGCTTAAGCCAATAATGTTTACTCATATGTTGCCAAAATAATGCTGACATACTTGTCTCTTAACAGGTGAATATGTAATCATGACAGTCTATTTCCACTTGCAAAGGAAGATGGGCTACTTCATGATACAGATATACACCCCATGCATTATGACAGTCATTCTTTCTCAGGTGTCTTTCTGGATTAACAAGGAGTCTGTTCCAGCCAGAACAGTTTTTGGTATGCTGCATTAAGGTCTTTGAACATCAGCATCACTTATACCATTCATTCATTCCTTTCATTGCTTGTTTGTTTTAGGTGAATATTCACTTCAGCTGCTCTATTTCCATCTTCAAAGGAAAATAGGCTACTATCTCATTCAGACATACATTCCATGCATCATGACTGTAGTCCTGTCTCAAGTTGTGTTTTGGATCAACAAAGAATCTGTTCCAGCAAGAACGGTGGCTGGTATTTGTGTTTTGTTGTTTTATCATTCATTTCATTCACTGTATTGAATCCATTGTATCAATCTGCTATTGTAATCCAGTGGGGATTGGGAAAGGCAGCTAGTAGGTTTCAGTGAACAAAAGTAAATACAGAAATTAAACCAAATCATATTCAATCTGCCCATGAGGGCCAAAATTCTTTACTCAGAATGTTTGGTCAGCCAGACTTGTTTGGGGTGCTTTTAAATATGTTTTTGTATGCAGGAAGGGACAATTTTAGAGTAAATGTTGAGCTCCTCATTTTTTAAAGAGGACTTTTTTCTATAGATTTATTGTCTTGTGAAACCAATATGAGTTAAAGCTTTAAAAGAAAAAAAAATCCCCCAGAATGGAATTATTCTCATCTGACATAAGGTACTTCATCTAACACTCATTCCGGAGTGCTCTCTTCCCCTTGTCTACAAAGGTATCTAAACAACCAGCAGGGACTTTACATGGATAAATGTCAGTGAGATGAATAATGTGCCTATCATAGGCTGGAGTTGTAATGTGAAAGGTGTGTCCATAGTTCGTGGCAGGGCCCTTTTTTCTTTCCACTAGTTTGAATTAATGCTCCCAAAGCTGTGAGTCTCCTTAATTTTAGTGTGGGCTCTGCTATTAAATGTGACACAGCCACTTCAATATTGATATACTCTGAAACTGCATTCATTGGTAAGAGGTATACTTTCACTGACTGAATCCACTACCCATACATAGACTGTTGCAACCCTCCCTGTTTTCTCTTAACCCAGTATTTCTATCCAAAAAATTCCTTTTTTGAAACTCATCTTCAGTAACAAAAGGCAGCTATATATTCCCTAAGCATAAATGATACAAGTCTCATATTTCAAAATGAGCCTATAATTGTAGTTAGCAGGCCACACAATTTCTATAGTTTGATTTCAGTCAATTGGCATTTCCTACCTGCATGGAATGACATTCATAAAAGCGTTGAAAACTTTTTGGAAGGTGAAGAGAACGCAACTTCCTCAGGTTCCTTGAAGGAAGATCAACACTTTAGAAATCCCCATTGGGAGCTGGGATGCAGTTTGACCTCATTAGGCACTTAGAAGTTTTATTTTCTGGCAACTGGGATTTTTTTTAAGTGCTTGCAATATTAAAATTTAAGACATTAGATTTTCAAGGATATTTATTGCAATCAAAGCATAATATATATATATAGGATGTTTATACACCAAATAGGATGCTACCTGATTTGACTCTATATTGCATCTCTGACTATGCAGTTACATCCCTACATTTTGAGTAAAATGTATTTGCCACATCGTGGGCAGTGGAAGTCAATTCTGCATACTTGAAGTAACATGCAAATAAGTCTGTAGCTGATTTGGTAGTATTTACATAAAGACTCCAAACTCTGGAATAACAGATGTCATACAGAAGAGTAACTATGGACTCAGAAGCAGAAAATATTTTACGAAAATAGCAAAATAGATACCTTTCTCAGTACTGTGGAAAACAGTCATGTTGGCATTTTAAAAGAATATTTCAATCCTTATTTCTCTCAGGCACAGTCTGAATTTATAGTCCTTATTCAAAATCCCATGGATTCTGAATACCTTCATCTAAGGAAAAGAGGGCAAATTCCTTATGAAAAAAAAAAGACTTTGTCTTTTTCAGTAAAAAAATGTTTAAAATGGAGAAGGCATCATATGGCATCGTACTGCTCATACTTGAACTATAAATTTTCAGTCTTACTCATAAGTTCCAAACATAAGTTTGAGAGAAGAGAAATTAATGGTAGAATAACAAGGATGTGCCCAAACCACTTGCTCAGAACAAAATAATTTAGCTGCTCTATTTACCTCTAAAATGGATGCCAGTTACCAGACTTCAGTGTTTGCATTATGTAACAGATTCTGCAAAACTTACCAAGAAGTGTTCAAAGTGTAAAGACAAGGGTAAACAATCATCAGCTGCACAGTTTACCAACTGTAATTTGGTATTCAGTTTGATAAAGTAGTTTTCCACAGTGCAGAGCATTTCATCAATATTCACTCCACATTGAGAGAAGTCTTATCTATTACCAGACTTCAGTGTTTGCATTATGTAACAGATTCTGCAAAACTTACCAAGAAGTGTTCAAAGTGTAAAGACAAGGGTAAACAATCATCAGCTGCACAGTTTACCAACTGTAATTTGGTATTCAGTTTGATAAAGTAGTTTTCCACAGTGCAGAGCATTTCATCAATATTCACTCCACATTGAGAGAAGTCTTATCTAGTAATAGAAT